CTCCAGGCACTACAGCGACAGAGAGGGCAGCACTAGGCACCGTCAGTCCATCGGCTGCCAGCCCCAGCTCATCTGACACATCACACAGCATAGTTTTAAACAAAGGAAACAGCAACGGCTATATGTTCCTCTCCCTATGGCAGCAGAGCCTGCGACACAAGCAGCAGCAGCAGCAGTGCTGTAAGTACAAAGTCTTTCTCTATAGAATAAAAACATCTTACTTTAGACACAATAGAGAAAACATTACAAGGAGATGACATTCATCTGCATTGTTGTTTTGTGTCAAAAGTGAGGAGGCAATTGGGGATCCTTCAGCTAAGACGAGGCAACAGCACAAGCTGTTATTGGCAGGGAACAGATGTTTGAGGGAAAGTTGGCATTCAACAACCATTCTTCTTCTGACAGAAATCAACAAGAGAAACACAAGAGACAAGGCGTGATTGTCACCCAATGAAAGAGAGGCCCTTAAATATACAGGGAGGCTGGCATGTAAACATTTTTTGATTTTACACCCCCAAAACATCTGACTGCTGAAGCCACCAGAGTTTGCAGGGCCAAGGGTGTGATGCAGTGTATAAACTTCCCCAGCATCAGTACACTTTCCATACACAAGAACAGAAAACCTGAGCTAAGTTGTAAGAAATATGGAAGGTCTGTTGCCTGAGAGAGAGAGAGAGAGAGAACCACATCAACTTAACAGCTCCTATCCCTCTGCTACAACATCTAGCCACATGCTCTTTGCATATACTGTACATGCACTCATGTATACACATGCAAACAGACTAATTCTGATACAGGATGTTGGCAGTCAATTCAGTAAACACTCCCTTTATCCCATACTACTGTAATCTGCTTCTGATAAATGCCCCTCAAAGATAGAAATGTCACCTGATATGATAAACAGTATGCTAACGTTCCATAAAGTGGCCTTATGCTAAGGAGTTGAAGAGATTAACTGTAGAGCAGAGATGGGAAAAAATGGTGGCTATGATAAAAAGCTGAATTTTAGCTCCAGCAGAGAACCTTGTTTGGCTGTAGTATAGCATTGGGCTTATGTAATGACACTATGTATGCACATGACACTGAATGGAGTTTTAGGCAACTTAAAGGTCAACGCCTGCTGTAGCAATAAACAATTACAACCAAATAACACCTGTCTGGATGCATGAACTGTTTTTTTTCTGTGCATCATTTTCCTCAAAGGCCACAATATGAAATGTATCAGTCAGGCAATGCATCTAAGAAAAAGGGGATTGGAATAGCAATATTTACCACAGCATCAGTAGCCCCTCTCCCAACCTGTTATACACAAGGTATTATGGGTAAAAATAAAGCATTGAAAAATAACAAAAAGGCATTACTGTACACTGCAGTGGACCAGCATTACAGATATAAGATCGCTATCACCTGAGTAGATTAGGAATTTTGACAGTATGACATAGCAGTAAGCTCTGAGGACTTGTGTGCTGCCGCTCAGGTGCTAAACTTACAGTAAAAGAGCAGTATAATCACTACAGTGTGCTGCTAGATTCTGGTTGGACAGTGCTGAGTAAAAGAGTTGCAGGAAGCAACATGAATTCTCAGACGGTCCATATGGTGAAGACAGCAGTAAAGGAGAGAACACTAAGTCAGTTTAATAAGCACATTTGACATTAGATGTCTGCACATAGCCTCAGAGGGCCGCTTCAATATGTTCCCATAAACAGTGGCGGAGGCACGCTCCCTACATCATCCAGATTCCCCTTTACGCTCTGAAACTTTGGGGGGCAATTTTACAGAAAAATTACTCTGAGGGGCCTGGTTTCAATTCAGCCTGTTCATATCTTTCCTTCCTATTAAGCATCAAAATGTTCTCCTCTCAGTACGAATAGAGGTATGGACACCACCAGCAGCTGGGGAGAGAGACGAGGGGGGAGGGAGGGAGAAGGAGGACAGGGAGAAAAGGAAGGAGGGAGAAGAGAGAATGGAGGGAGCTTGGTGGAATTCACACATCATATTACAGCAGCTAATCGCAATCCGCAGAGCATCAGCAATATTTTCATCACTCCTGTCAAATTCTACTGACCTGCCTTGGAATGGCTAACAATCTGGGCAATTTATTGGCATATTGGCATGGGGTGATAAGGCTAAAAACAACAGCAGCTAGCAGCTGGCCCTGGGAGATGAGCTGATAACGCTGATATGTGCTCCCACACAAAACACCTCCACCACAATCTCCTCTTTCCATCAAACTCTTATTACAATAAAAGTGTATGGGGTTTTTTTGTTTGTTTGTTTTTTGTTTTTTTTTTGTTTTGCTTTCTTGGAAAAGCAACAAGGGGAGGGGGATACAGAGAGGGGGGCAGGAATATATATTTATGTGTACTGTAAAAAATCAGATGTAACGTTTCAAAGAAAAAAAACAAGGCGGGAAAATACATAATTTATCACTGTATTATCAGGATATCCAGGCAGCCTAATCAAGGAGCACTGAGTGACTATTTTTTGCCTTATCATCCAAAGTGGTGGAAACAGAGAAGGAATTATCAGCCAGCTGCAGATTGCTGGGCTGGAATTTTAATGGTAATAATCGGGTTTCTGATGGTATATCTTCTCTGCTTATCTTTCCCATTATCTGGCCTTATCTCCCCAGTCATCAGAGCAAATTAATGGCGCTCTTTCAGCATCGCCTTTTTATCACCGCTCAGAGAGCACCCAAGGGGAAAGAATAAGCAAAATATTAAAATACTGCATAAATCACAATTTTAGATAACAGTCCAATGTATGCAGGGGGTGGGGGTGGGGGGACACTGCACCCAACAACCTTTTTGTCCTTTAGAATGACTGTCTGTGCTGACTTTCTGTGCAATGCCTCCTCTGCCTTTTTTCCCAGAGTTCCCAGGGCAGCGGAGAGGATCTAGGCTCCCCCTGACCTTTCTGTTTCTAACTAGAGCTTGATTATACAGTACAGCAGCACACCGGCTCCATATTAACAAGATCTTACACATGACATACTAATTCAAACAAGGTTAGGTCAAGATGACAAAAGCGTAACACAAATTAGACTTCCTTTGCTCAACAACAAAATTTGGATGCTTCAGTGGGATTGGTCCAAAGATGAGTGGGCCTATCACGTCATACGCTGTCATGCTTCTTTGTTGATTAGAAATGGTTGCAGGTTTACGGAGGATGCCACAGAAACCCAAATATGAACTCAAAGATTGTTACAGTGAAAGGAAGTTTAACATTTCCCTTCACACTTTAAGGGTAACTACTGTATATTCTGTCATACTTCTCTAAACCGTATAACAAAGAGATGATAAAACAATGGAATCAATCATAAAATGTTTTATACAATACAACTTTCAGTATAAGATAAAAATATCTAAAATGTTAAACTGGTTGATTTTAAAATAACTGATGATTTACTGTAATAAAATCCAAAGGAGAGAATTTAAAATACTGTAAAACTCCAATAAAAAATAAACAAACTCCTGCTTCCAAAAAAGACCGTCTTAAACTTTACAAAAATATTTATATGATACGATAATACTGATAAAATAAAAAGGTGAAGAAGCACAATAAAATAAGGATGACACAAAATCTCTTGTCGCTGAATCTGTCTCACACAAATATAATAAAACACGCTTGTATCCCAGCATCCACATGGCTTCATGAATTCATGCATGTGAGCTCACACCCACATGCAAACACACACACACACACACACACACACACACACACGCCGTATTGTCTTCTTTCTGGCTGGAAGCACATATAAACAGTATGATGCTGACAACCTACAAAGTGCAGCCTGTAGTTAGATTTTTGATTGTCTGACCCCAAACTCACCACACTCTGCTTTCAGCCTCTCACAGCAGCAGCACACAGTGGACAAACTGAACACACACACACTGTACACACACTCTGACAAAGTGTGTGTATGCCTAGTACACACACTCTGACAAAGTGTGTGTAGGCCTTTGTGCTTGTGTGTGTGTATGTGGGGGTGTGTGTACCCACATATTTAGGGATGATCTACAAGCCCCTTTAAAATCATAAAAATTCTAAGAAGTTGTATAAAATTGTTTATGAAATATAACACCTTTTATAAAATATAATAACAATGCAACTAAATAGATATGACACACTTTTGAATTCATGCAGGCCATGAGGTTATAATTCATTAGCATTTTTTGCATTAAAAACAAATAATAATCTACAACATTTCTGCAAAAAGCTGTTAAAATGTTCACCCATATTTGAAGCACAAATATCTGTAAACTATATTACTGAGACAGAAGATCAGCACTTGACCACAGCACTGGTCCAGTCACTTAAAATGTAAACATGCCATAACTTGACACACTTTTACTATTTTCCTGCAATAGCACGAGGTACTAGTATCAACACTGCTGATCAATATTTCTGTTATTTATTGGGTTTGACTGGAAAGTTTGAAAAAGTGCATGTGCACGTATTTATGTACACACATTGTAAGTGAGTGTGTATGTGGAAAAGGAAAAAAGCGAAGAGGAGTTAGACTGTGTGAAACACGTGTGTGTCTGTGTGTCACCAATAAAACATTTAATAGCAACATCAATCCAAAACCAAGACCGCCTTTTAAGACAATCTCTTAATTCGCCTTCGTGAATTATTTTAGTCCTGTAATTTAAAGTGATGCACCGATAGCCAGGTTTGGATGAAAACTAGAACAGAGTCAGATCAAATAAACAACCAAATTAACTTCCTTTTTGCTACAACTTGGCAGCAGCGCCGAAACTTTCCGGCCAGCAGCGCCGTGGGATTCGGATTGTAATTCATCTCTTCAGAAACACATAAACATATCTGGGGAGGGAGACTGGAGCGTGTGCACCGTGACAGGCAGCACATGAGTGGCGACAGTTGAGCGCTGCTGAATCAGCTTAAGTGTGGTCACTATCGGAACAATAGTGCGCAAACTCTAATAAGCTTGGAGACGCAGTGTAGCGACTGAACAACAGTAAAGAGAAACAACTTACGTTTGATCTGCCTGGGGTTGCTCTGCTTCCTTCGGGACATGCCTGCTGTGCGGCTGGTCAGTGAATCCAGGTGTAGTACTGACAGATCGATAGGTTTTGGTTCATCCAAGCAGCGGGTTTGGGTTTTTGTCTGATGGAAATTGAGAAAGAAAAAGAAGAAGGGGGCACCAGTAGCTACTTTTTACGCACAAGTCTATCGTTTCGTCTGTCTTTCCTTTATCTTTCTCGTCTCTCTGGCTCTGGCTCTCCCTCTCTCTCTAACACACATACACACGCTCTCTCTCGCTCGCTCGCTCGCTCTCTGTCTCGCTCTCCCTCCCCCTCTCACTCTTTCTCAGCCCAGTTCTCCGTGATGAGGCTGCGCTTCGACGCGATCCGCATGGACTGACTGTCGAGGTGAAAGCTTTTCGCGCTTTTGTTTGAAGATAAGGTTTGTTCCTCCCCGGGTACCGTAGCCGTGGCTTTGTGAACCTCACTTGATCTACAATTACTTCAACTTCCACTTATTAATTAGCGTCGTCCTTAATTAGCGCCCCTGTAAATGTAAAGGTAGATGGAGACAAACAGCACCAGCCGATGTTCATCATAATGCATCGCAATCACAATATAGACAAAAAGTAATTAGCCCCAACTATACTTCAAGTAAGCATTCCCCAGCCTTTTCATCAGTTGGTGCTTTAACTTCAAGTAAGCATTCCCCAGCCTTTTTAAAGGACTCCGTTGTCATCAGTTGGTGCTTTAAATCATGTATAAAATACAAAAAATTAATTTTATTCACTATGCAAAAAAACAAAACAAAAAAACAAAGATGTTCAGGGTAATTTGTCCTGCTCATATCACCAACAGATCTGAGCCCATACCAGGATCAGCCCAGATGCTGCTTGGCCACTCATTGTGTCCTGATGCAGGATGGGAGAGGATCTGGACTGACATGTCATGATGACCTCAACTAACCTGACCTCTTGGCTAAATGCTGAAAGACGTTGCCTACAGTCTGAACAGTTGAATGACAGACAAAACCCTAAAATGAAATCCAGGAGGAATTTCACAAGCACAGTATCTAAAATATGATGTATTTGTGAATATGTTAATAACTAATAAATTGAAACACAGAAATGGACCTCCCTACTTGTTTCCAGTTTTTACCTTTTAACCCAAAATAGTTAATAAAAATGTGAACCTGTGAAGTGAATTTAACCAGAGAAAGTTTGCCAGAAAACGTCCGTTCTCAGATATACATATTTATTTGTTATTCCAATTGTTACTAACATGAGACTTTGTGCAATAACTACATTGCATGAATGAATGATTGAAGGATTTTTTATATCATTCATGCAGCTATTCCCAGTCTGCAAGAGCATATTTCACCAGCACAGAAGTCCAAACGTAAAGGAAAACAACTCAAACATCTTTCACAGTTAAATCATCAGATCATCATCTACAACTAAATTCAAAAACCACTGAAAACACATTTACTAGATAATAAAGAAAAGTCAAAGCAGACACCTGCTTCAAATGAATAGTGGATCTTGCCCTTTATCATAGGTCACAAATTTCTGATCACTACTTTTATCGCTATTTATCATCTGTGGTATCTTTCTTTAACAAGTCAGCGAAAAGCAGATGTTACTAATTTAGTCTTATTCTGGTTTCGACTCTGTGCACCACATTGTACTGTCAGTGTAGCTCAGTGTAGTGTCCATGTTTCCGTATGTCACTGAGTGTTAAACACACCCAGATCAGATCAGCTCAGTTGCTCCTTGGCCACATGTTGTCTCCTGATGCACCCTGACAGAGGATCTGGACTGAGATGTCATGACCTCACATAGCCCAATCTCTTGGCCAAAGCTCAAGGCAGCTTCCCAGTGCCCTAAAGCTACTCTTTTACAGTACTTTTACATTCTTATACTTAAAAATATGTCCGACTTTTTTGTGTGTGATGCATGCTCAAATTGGTACACGGTGAGTTTTCAATAAGATGAGATGCTTCTTTCACTCTGTTTATTTATCAATATTTTATAAACTGTCAAGTCAGAATGTGAGCGGCTTCTCTTGCCTACAATTAGTCTGCCTATGGAAAAGAAAAATATTCAGAGAGAGAGAGAGAGAGAGAGAGAGAGAGAGGGAGAGAGAGAGAGAGGGAGAGGGAGAGTCTTCAAATCATTCAGATTTTGACTGCCATATTCTGAATACTTGCCCAAACTGGAAATCACTCTCTTCAATTAGCCAGTTGGACTGCCAAGGAAGACAAGCAAGTGGCCTGTGAAATTATCTTGTAACCCAATTCCACAACTTTGGAATGGAGTCTGAAACTACAGAATAATTTATGTGGCAGACGGGTCAGCAGTGGTTCACCTTGATGAGAGCATCTGTCTTGTAAGCCTCCTCGGTTTGTCTCTTCCTGCATTTCCTCCTGTCCTCTGGTGGTGAAAGTTTTTTTTTTCCTTTAATTTTTTTTCTTTTTTACTCACATCAAGCTTTGGTCACGGTCCAAACGCAGTGATGTCATGGGACAGTGTTAGTCATAAACAATGAATCATTTCAGTATCTCAGCTTAGTCACACTGTGTACACCTGGAAAGCTTTTGTTAAGAAATAAGAGACTGACAATCTATTCAAACAAAGAAAAGTGATAAACACTTCATTAAGGATTTTGTGAGTGAGCGTGTGTGTGTGTTTTTTGTCATGCCAGTTCAACACACACTACATAAACTCTTCAAAAAGCCACAAGTAAAATTACATTGAAGCCTATTAAAAGGTTAAAATGAAGCAATCCCATACTTTAAAATGACCATGCTAAACATCCATAAATAGCGTTTACCAGGCTTATTAGGAACCCAGCACAAAATCAATAATGATTTGTGGTAAGAGCAGCAACATAGTGAGAGAAGAGAGTCAAATTGCCAGCTGAAGATTAATTTAACGCCACTCCTAAATCCTCTGAGACTGAAACACGGTTCTTCACTGCTGTGCCTCAGCCCCACTGGCTTGTTTGAAGCCGTCTTTGATTGACAGGTACAAATCTGCAAGAGGAAGAGAAAGCTTTTTTTTTTACTGCTCGGACCAGATGGTTGTGATAATTAACATGATACTGTTTCCATCGCAAGGGAAATCACTGACACAAGGTTGGTCATATTAATAGGTTAAGGTATACTGTATGCTGTGGAGATGCTGCACAGTGCACTCACATAATCTGATTACAGGGGGAAAGGTTGATTTAATGTGCTAAATCATTTGATTAAAGCTGCCAAGTCTTATTTGGGGAATGTCATTCAGTGTTGGGGCAGTGGAGGTGGGCTGTCTGGTGGCTTCATCGTGTTCATTCATAAAGGAAATGTGTTTCTAAACAATAAGTGTTTCTGCAGCTCTCTGGCATCCTGGCTGAAGCCACGTCAGTTTGTCTATGACCTGTGTGTCTTATTCAGAGCCTAAAAATATTTTGTGGGAACGATAAGATGATATTAAATAATAGATTAAGTTTTGTACTATTTGTTATTTATTGACAGTGCTGTTACAAGCGGTGGGTGTTTTTTCATATTCATGAAGGAGGTTATGTGGATGCACGACACTTTCTCTTGCACTTTTTGCTTGCTTTCTGCAGTTAAGTTCATTTCATAAATAACGACAGTAAGCATGTTCCTGCCTATTCCAGAGTGTGTGCAAAGGTGCCATCTTTGCACACACTCATGATGTTTCTCTTTGGTATAACAGCAGTAGCATGGGGACTTTCAAAAACATTTGGATGAGGATGAGGTAAGACCCTTAGCAGCATTGTTATTATTATTATTATTATTTTTTTTTTTTTTACCCTTACCCTTGACTCAGAAAAAGAAGCAACACAAGCAACACCATCTTTCCAGTATATCCAAATATAATATTGTTGAACTGACTTTGCCATTAATAATTCAAATTGCTCAACGTATTTGAAAAGTTGTATTCCAATTTAAACCTTAATATTATGGAGTATGCATTTTCTCATACCTCCCTAAATCACGCAGCAGGAGCTGAATTTGCAGCCACCAAACGATAAGAAACACAACAAAATGGTATGTCCTGTTTACCAGGTGTGTGAAATAAACTGAAGGCAGGAGCTGCTGAAGGTTCAGAAAAATAAAACTCTGGATGCAGAGAACACAAAGGTCCATGTCTTTTATTAAACTATTTAAGTTTGATGCAAAAAAACTTGCTATATTAAGAGAATTGTTGTTGAAATTACCTAATTTGTTTATATCACCCTTTAATTTGCAATAACTTTCAGAGAGGAAGGGAGGAAAATGTACTATATATATGGGAAGAAACAAGTTAAAGGGTTGTCCCCTGCTCTTCCCAAAATCTTCTTCCCTCCCCTTTCTGATGCCAACTCCTCCTATTAATTTTCTAAATGGCATGAAGCTGCAGAGTACAAAGGTATAATATCCCAATTATCCGTCGTTAAAATGACCCACATACGCAGTAACCAGAACAGGTGTTCACAGTTGTTAAAATAAAGGTTTTGTCAGTGTTTGGTGTTAATTTGATAAGAATCCTAAAGTGAATTATTTCCATAATATCAGCCCCCGTCTCCATCCTCCACTGTTGCAGTGTGCTGCTGTGCTGAATGAGTGGATCACAGGGTGTCTGGTGTGACAAATTACTGGGCTAGTTTCTTTAAGGGATCACACATGTCCAGTGGCTCTGGGAGTGACAGGCATCACTGGGATAGGTGCACCATCTTTAAAGAGCAGCCTCAGCAGCTCAGCTTGGACGTCAGTGTTATGAGTTTGCCTGCTGTGCTGTCACTCTCTGGCTGCTGGTTTGTCTTCAGTGTGTGAGGTCCATGTGTGTGTAGGGTGATGTGGGTGCAGGGCAGGGGTGGTGCATGTATAGAAGTGTTTAGGTCCTGGATATACTGTATAGATAAAGTGTACAAAAAGTGACAGAGGGAAGAACGAGAAACACATATATGATAAGTGAAACTGAAAGTTTTTCAGTAACAAATCAAAGATGTGCGGTTTTTATATTGTGCTTTTCAATAATGTCCAGTACTTCTTTGGGAATTTTCTATTTAGTTGAATCCCTGTCATGGATGTAGCTCTCAGCCCAACGCTGAAAAAAAGCTTTGTCCTAACACTGAAATCACCTCTTCAAATGACATATGATTTATGACTTTTAATAACTATAACATTAAGTTGTTGTTGTCTGTCCTGGGTAAGATGTTGGTGCTGGTTGTGCATCCCATCCATCCAGCCAGCAGCTTCAGCAGCAGTGAGCAAACAGATGTCTGAGAGAGTGCCCACTCCGCCGGCCGAGCTGCCAAAACCACCCGCGGCCCTGGAGGCCTCAGCGCCAGCTCTTTCCAGGGAGGCTTCACTCTCTGCACCACCATCCAGTACCCCCCATTCTCCCAGCTCCTTCCCAAACGATCCGTCCTGTTAACCAGGGAGATACATAATGTGCAGTGCACTTTGAACTAAAGCAGAGAGAGAGAGAGAGAGAGAGAGAAAATGAAATCTTAAAAAAAGCCACACAACCTCAA